ACTCATAGTACCACATATTATACCTCTAGGCGAATTAAGTAAGAAATAAAACAAACTTTCTTGTCACAAAGTGTCTTTCAGATTCACTTTATAGGTCAAAAACATAGTTATTTAATATAACATAAACCAAAGTCGGTTATACTTCCGCTGATGCAAATGGCATCACAATTTAACGCATGAGCATTTGGCAATACCTTTTAATTTATTTCACTCAAAAATAAATACCACCCTAATTAAACTTTTACTGAAGACCTCATGTATCGTTTTTTTAATAAAAGCTGGTTTATTTTGACCGAACAACTTTGTAAGTATACTCATGTTGTGTCAGTAAGGCCGTGAATGGAACTGAAGGTCATGTTAGGGCATTCGTTTTTGTCTGGGGCCATGGTCTCCTGCTTAGATGTTAGAATCAAAAAGTTTATCTGTCTGATAAAGAGGCATTTCTAGCTCAAGTGTCATAACATGTTTTTTCATATTATGTATCATGGTTTATAGTAATAAATGTTACAAAACACTATGGTGACTGCCATCGTTTTTGGCCATGTTCATGCTAACTCCAATGCCATATTAAAAAGCATTTTCTCCATCCCTTATTTTTTTACCCTTCTTCTGCTACCTCAAACCTTTAATCTGAATGCTTTTGCATACACAGACTGGAGAGTGAGGCAGCCGCAGCAGCCAAAGCCAACGACCTGGCACTACTGGCCAAGGAACGCGAACGCCAGGCCCAGTTGGCCGCACAAGCAGCCGTTCAGGCTGAATGGGACAAGCGCGATCGTGATTTAGCCTTCAGAATCGCTGGCGGCGACTTCTCAGCCGTTGACGAAGGTATTAACTCAACGACCACAGCCGCCTTAGGAGCCTCTAATCGCAGTTCAAGCGGTCCCTCTGGCAAGTACGCCTATCTCAAAAGCTGGCCATACACTAAGCTCCGTGAGACCATCAATACATCATGTGGTGAGCTTATTCTGATTTATCATTATCTCGTTGGAATATATCTTGCCTCTTAATTCGTTTCCTTTCGTAGGAGGCCATGAGTTTGGATAAAAAGATTGTTGATAACCTTTTTCTAATCTTTGTCTATTCTTTGCGTGTGAGTCATGCTTTTTGCTCTGCGTAAACGCGACCATATTTAAAGACATGCATTTTTAGCCTCGATGTGAGCTCTTACTGGCCAAATACCACTCAGGCCCATTGCGACATTTTTCACGAAATTTAAAAAATGTGAACTCTTAAACAAATTACTATTTCATCATTATATGCATA